ATTTTCTAATTATAAAATTATAGTCATAACTTGTAAAATAAGGTATCGAAGATATGTTCACCCAGATTCAATATGGCTAGTTAGTTAAATACTTGTGTCTGTATGTACGTGTGTTTGTCTGCATGTATGTCAGTATGTATGTATGTGTGTATTTGTATGTCTTTATGTATGTGTGTGTGTGTCTGTATGTATGTTAGTATGTGTCTGTGAAAACAATGCAAAAGTAAACTATCTTACAACTATATTTAGTAAAGTTTCCATGGCCTTTTTTTCATGAAATACGGAATTGAGGAGAATGGCAAGAGAAATGCAAAGTCTTGGAATCAAAAATACTCTTGACTCCACTGTTTGTCTAACTCAGATATTTTCATCTAAAATTTACTATTTTGGTGTCCACTGCACTTAGTTCTCATTTTAGTGAATAAAAACATGTGCATCTAGAAATAAGACAAATATTGGATCTTTCCATATAATTATCTCATAAAATCAAATCTCTATTCGCTACATCTCTTTAAACTCTGTAATTTATTAAAGTTTTTCATCTACCATTTCTCAGGAATGTACAAAAAGCACCCATGACTGTTGTGTTTGCTGTGGTCTAACTAGCACTTACCTATTAATAGCAGTTGGCCGTACATTGTACATGATGGCCAATGAATCAAACTATAAGAGAATGTATATTTATATACTTATTTATCAATACATACTTATCAAATATATTGACATATGTTTGCTTGCATAAGCATTTTTCACAAAAAAAACAAAAAACAAGGAACGTTGTACTTATAAAATGTAACCTTATTGATCATATTGTCCTATTTTTATGTGTGTCATTCATCAGAATAAGGGCAATTTGAGTTATAATGCTTAAGTCCTTTTTATTAGATATGTAGGTATCGCCTTTAAGAAATATGGAAAGAGACGAAGACTGATGAGATAAACTCATTATTCATTATAGCTATAAAACAACTGTAAGGAATTGAAAGCCCTGTCTGGAGATCTTAGGTGACATTTTAAGTGAAATTTCCAGAAATTGAAAGTATCCAAGATATATGGATATATACAACAACGTGCCTTGAGACGGACTAATCTAATGCATGATATTCATGACACCGTGCTCTTGAGACATTTCCTGTAACATTACAATTTCATCTTATCTATAGTTACTGCCATATTTTACACAAAATGCTCATATGTCAACTCTATATATGAGACCAATTCAGATTTATTCCAACACTTGGATTTTTTAAATTAATTACATGTTTTAGTACACATCAGACTTAATGTGAACCTCAAATATATGCTTATTAAAACGGAAAAACTTTAAAATTATACATTTGCTCTTGTAATGCTTGCATGTGTATAAGTAACCTCACATCCCACCAATCAACAGATGGTGGATAGGAAAAGAGAACATTTACTGAAATCGTTATGTTTAAGATATGGCTGGGAACTTGGGGATCCCAGCTACTGGATAGCTGGTAGACTTGTGCATGGCAAAAAAAATGCCATTGTCCTCTCTCGTCTTGACTACTGCAATACGCTTCTCAGTGGTTTTATGTGTTCCCAACTTGCCGCTTTACAGTCTTCCTGTCTGCCCGCACCTCCCTGCTCTGTCAGTTCCTACATTGGCTTCCTATAAGATATGGAGCTCAATTTAAGATTCTGGTACTTGTTTACAAGTCTCTACACAATGCTGCTCCGACCTATCTATCCTCCCTAATACACAAATATGTCCCGTCTAAGCCCCTAATCTCTGCCGAAGACCTACGTCTATCCTCTGTTCGTACTCGCACCTCTGATGCTCGCTTCCAAGACTTCTCTAGTGCTGCACTCTTCCCTTCTCCATTAGACTTTTATCCAGTCTCCATTCCTTCCTCCATTCCTTAAAAAAATCATTGAAAACTCCCTTTTTCAGGGAAGCGTATCAATCAAAACTGTCAATAGCTTTCACTCCCCACACCCTGATCCCTCTCCTGCAACTGTAAAAAAAAAAAAAAAAAAATGAAGCCCTCAGAATACTTTTTTCAGCAACCTATTTTTCTATTATTACCCTTACGTTTGTGTCACTATACCCCACTCCCTCTAGCATGTAAGCCCATTGAGCACAACCCTCAATCCATCTGTTCCTGTGCATTCTTGTCTGGTTACAATTACGTGTCTGTTAGTCCACCCATTGTTCAGCGTTGCAGAATTTGTTGGCGCTTTATAAATAATAATAATAATATAAATATTTAGTTAAAAACAGCATAAAATGGATATAAGATAAATATAAATTCAGTAAATATTCATTTTATTGCCATGAATGCTCAAAATACATCATACATTAATGGGAAATATTTACTATTTACTAATTATTATTGTTTTTACACTACATATGATATATTGCAATTAAATATAGGAGATTTAAGATTAAAAAAAATAGATTTGTTTGTAGTTTTATTTCTCACGACAGACACAAACATGAGATTTGTTTCTATAAAAAATAAGCTCTGAATAGAAAAAGAATTGCAGTTGGCTAAGCGGTGACCCATGCTGAAATAATGCAGTCAGCACGTGAATTAAAGTGTGGAAAATAATGCATCTCTCCTCAATAATACTGCTAAGTCTGCTATAAAAGACCTAGAGGGTGAATTTCAGAAGTCACTATTACTTTTGATTTTTGAAGCTGGTTTCACAACTATGGTAATCATTTTTATATTTTTAGTGTTGTTTAGGGTATGAGTTTTAGTGATTGACTAAGATACACAAAGTTGGTTGTAAAGGAGGTTATTATATAAAACTAACCCTCAGCTATAATACTTTGGCTATAGTACAATATCAGTTACAGAAATTCTAAAGTTTTGATACTGTGCTTATTGAATGCAAAAGGTAAACATCAGAATGCCTATACAAAGAATATTCCAAAAATGCACAATAAGTAACACATAAGCAGGGATAATATTAATCATCATCATTACAGAATTAATAAACTACAAGAGAAAATAAAGTGTAATAAACACAGTGAACAATAAATAAAAATAGACACAACTCTAATCACTCATGGAATAATCAATCGATCCTAGTACAAATACACACAAAGCAAATAAAATGGAAAGCGCACACTAGACATGCAAATATACCTTCCTCGACTTAGAATTTCAACATAATTTGTCTTCCTAAAAGAGAACCTGAGGAAGACAAGTTACGTCGAAACGCGTTGGGCTGCAGTTTCGTATTATTTTATTTTGCTGTATGTGGCTGGGATTTTCTAAGCATATCAGCTCATCTACCTATATGTAAGATATTTTATTGTTTCAAAATAAATGCTATCTATTTTAAGGTGAAGTTTTGCATATTTTCTTCTTTTGCAAGGTCATAGAAGATACTATTCCTTGTCCATTGAGATCCTTCTCATTTATGCTGTTTTAACCTGAGAGTGAGAATTGGCTCAAATAAATGTGAGTGCATGAAGATATAACTTCATATTTTTCTGTTGCCTGTATAGAAACACTGCACTATGTTTTTATGTATTTGTCTTTTCTAGCATCTTACATTTCAGATTGACCATTACAGAATAAGTTTGCAGATTTTATTATCTTGCACTAAATTTTAATTAAAAAAAGATATTATTATTACTACCCTAAATGCATGTGTACAACTAAATAGAAACTCATACTGTACAGTTTATGGTGCATGGGGATTGACACTAATGCGTCTATTAACAAATTTGGCAAGTTTTTTCAAGTTCTCTGTTATGGCATATACCTTATGATTCTTCTATTAAGACTTTTTGGAATGTGCTTCATTAGCAATGTATAATTATTGTGATATATTTCATAAATAATCTTTCTGGTAATAATACAAATTATTGTTTCACATTTTCTCCCTTAAGCTAGTTATTTATTATTTACCTATTCAGCATTTCATTATCTGTTAATTGTCAACTATTAACAGCAGAGTTGCAAAATATTTCCAATGGTGTTAACTTAGCTTAATTTTAAAATGTGGGGTCAAATTACTACAATGTGTTTATTGAATAAATCTCATTATTTCTTCAATAAATCCCTACTTACTTTTCTCTCACCAGTACTGAATACCTCAAGCTAAAAAAAATAATATCTCAACCATAGACCTTAAAAGTCACTATGCATCAAGCAGAGGAACTGAATATGTTATCATTTTTGTTCCTTCTGACATGGTACAAGTGGTCAGTAGTGTAGTGGAATGGAGTATTCAATAGTTTGTTGAGAGGGTAGTCAATCCCATATTTGTACTGCCTATATACAATGTTGCTATTCACATAATATTTATGGTATGCTTTTAGGTTCATAATTTTTGTTTACTCTACATGGTCGTGGAATTAACATGCATCATTCCCTGCAGAAATTTACATGATTAAAACAAATTTACACTATTTACTTAAACACTGTTTCTTATTATATTTATGCACCAATATTGTTTGTTCTTCAAGAAGGTTATATTGTTTGTATATTCAACGCCCTATTTAATTTCATCATCCACTTCATTCTTTTTTCCTTTTCCACTATGTAATAAATGGTAATAAAGAGAAGTTCCAACAAATACGTAAAATGTTGTTATCTCCAAGGATAGCTCCATATTCCGAAATCTCTAATAAGTATCTTTTTTTTACTATGGTCTTAATTTATTATTGTTTAAAGGAACACTCCAGGGCCGGGAAAACAAATCGTTTTCCTGGCACTGCAGGTCCCCTCTCCCTCCCACCACCCATCTCATGTTGCTGAAGGGGTGAAAACCCCTTCAGTGACTTACCTGACACCCCCGCCGATGTCCCTCTGTGGTGGTTTCGGGTCCGCCCACGGTCCTCCCCCACCGACGTCATCCGGCGGGGGAGACCGATCACGCATGTGCTGCCTCAGGCAGGGGAGACCTAATGCACATGCGTGGTAATGCTGTGCGCGCGCATTAGACCTCTCCATAGGAAAGCATTGAAAATGCTTTCAATGCTTTCCTATGGGGCATTGAGTGACGCTGGAGGTCCTCACACAGCGTGAGGACGTCCAGCGACGCTCTAGCACAGAAAACCTGTGCTAGAAACCAGGAAGTGCCCTCTAGTGGCTGTCTAGTAGACAGCCACTAGAGGAGGAGTTAACCCTGCAAGGTAATTATTGCAGTTTATGAAAACTGCAATATTTACAGCTGCAGAGTTAAGGGTAGTGGGAGTTGGCACCCAGACCACTCCAATGGGCAGAAGTGGTCTGGGTGCCTGGAGTATCCCTTTAATAAGCTTTTCAAATCATCTAATATTTTTGGACACATTTTTAAAATTATTAAATATTATGAAATATATTTCCATTTTGTAATATTTATATTGTTGCTATATTGATATATGTTATTAGATATGGTATATATTTTTTTATTTATTTTTAATATTTTGAAAAAAATATTTTAGAAGTTTATCCAAAAATATCAAATCATTTGAAAAGCTTATCCAACAACATTAAATCAAGGCTTACATTGGTACACAGTTCACCCTTTTGTTCATTGACTATGAGTGAAGCAATAACACATACTACATTTCAATGTCGAAGTCTGATTCACACTCTTGCGTCATCAGTTAAAGGTTTTTTTTCTTTTTTTAATGATAAGGGTCTATTGTGACCTTCGCTGTTCAGTTAAATCAGTATCATGCTTTAGTAAATAATGCTGAAACCATTTTAGTTCATAAAGCAAACTAAACTAAACTGTAGCATTATTCCAAATATTAGATGTATTACATTGATAAAATCCTTAATTTAGCCAGGAAAAATGTCTGTCAAAATTAACACAATTGAAGTTATTTTTTTCTGGCAAACTGTACAAATAAAAAAAAAAACTATAAACTATAAACGATTATGGAGGTTTAATAAAAAAAAATCCACTTTGAAAAGAACACTTCTATAGAATTTACTACTCAAGGTGAGAAGGGTTATAGTAATGACCTCTCATATACACATAAAAAATAACAATGCAAAATATAGTGTTATACCAACAAATACACTGAAAAGAAAAATATAACTGGTACAATGATCACTCATCACCATTTATGATTGACTCTAATCTTTAGCACTTGTGTGATTTTTGCAGAAAACCCTTTAACAATGTAATAATAGAGGAATAGCAGAGGAACATCAAACAAAATATATCCAATAGTGTAGTACCTTTAAAAATGTATTGAAGTTGAATAAGCACTATATGCTACTTGCTCTCCTAATATGGAACTTTTAAACACCACGTTCCAGGAATGTAGGCACTGGTAACAATGCTGGGGGAGGTGGGGGCAACCTTTCTCTTTAGTGTTCAACAGCAACTGTATGGTATGTTACCAGGATAATACATATTACTATCTTCACTAGTAGTAACCATACACAACTTCAGCCAGGGAAACACAGTCCAAGACTTTGATTTTCTGTAAAATTATTAGACTTATGCATTAGGGTATGGACAAATTGTGATTTATCTGAATATTGGGCTATCGTCGACTTATCCGAATTCTGGGGCTGGCATTTAAAAGTTTAATGTAAGGTGAGAAAGTTGCATGTTGTGCTTATTAAGCTATTAGATACCATCTTTTTCTGCTCCTCTTTCTTGGTTATTACATTGCTTTTTCAGGTGAAGTGCTACTCACTAAAATTCAGGAACTGTAGTATTATATGCATTCCTGTTAGCAAAATACTAAAAATGTTAACATTAGAAGCTCACACAGTATGAGACAAGTGCCTGTTTAAGACTGTTTCATCTTTTGAGTGTGAAAATTCTTTTACCCATCCCTAATCATAACATATGTCAAAACAGATGTATCGAGAGTGAAATATATGCCATGGAATAAACATTAATGGTTTTATTTTTTCCCATAACTAAGCAAAACTTTTATACCAAATTGAGTCTATTCGACACACAGGAGGATACAGTGAAAACTCACTTGAAAAAAAAACTATGCTGAAATAGTAAACTTCCATAAAAAAAATAAAAATAAAAATTTCAAAATAAAAAAATAAAAAATCCAACACAGGTATTTTGGTTTTACAAGATGGTTGTCAGAAAATCACAGCGCATATTTTAGAACCTGAATTTTTATGTTGTTCCTTTGGACAGCAAGGCCCCCCAAAATCAATGACAAAAATAACAAAAAAACCAAAAAACAGATCTGGACTCTGTTTTAAAACACCGTTTAAACTACAAGTTCTGCTACAACTGTGATAGATCACACAGTATAGATAGCAAGTAAGATGTTTTTTTACTAGAAAAATGTTGGCAATTAATGAACTCATCCTATCTGCAGCTGTAACATTTGCACAGACCTAGCAATCCTCCAACTGCAAAGTTTCAGCGTTATGTCTGGCATTAAAATGAATTTCTTAAAGAAATGAAACTTTGTATGACCCTCAAATGTTGCTATAAAAAACCATTAATATCTACCAAGCATAAATTTTACAAAACAGATGTTCTTTTAAAATTCTAGATACATCTAAAATTCTATTTGCATATGCCAAGTATTGCTTTAAGAAAATGTCTCATAAGGAAAGCTTAAAATTGAGATAAAAGGTTTCAGCAATTGTGTAAAATAAAATGAAAGCTGACATTTCCACAGTAACATTTCCCTACATATCTGTTTCACTATGTTTAATAAAATATATCCTAACAAAATATTTCATTCATAAGAAATCTGATGGCTGGTTAAATCCAATAAAAAATGACATACCTTCTTAGATGCACTATAAAAATAGTGGGGACAAAATTAACTTTATAACAATAAGTAATAACGCTTTATTTATACAACAGCAGCAACATTACAGTGTCACTTTTAATGGTGTGCATCTTTCAAAATTGTAGTGCCGAATCTTAAGATCATCGGGGGACAGTGGTAAAACAGTAGCCCTTGTAGACGCTGGACATGTTGTGGACTGGCTCAATATCATGAGAGTTTCATAATCATCTAGAGCACATGTGTACCCCCTCAATACTTGGATAACCCCCTTTCTTTCAGTACACAACATCTTCAGTGGAGGAGTTTGGGTCCAGACAAGGTCCAGTCAAATAATTTGTGGGATCCTGGTCAAGACAATTTTGCGAGTCACCTACTGTTCTCATATGTCAAATGCATTTTGTTGGAATTAATTATTTGTCTTGATTTATCTATTGTAAATATGATAGCCCTTCAGAATGTGTTGGTGCTAAATAAATCATTGTAATTGTTACCCATTGTCCACAAAAACACATGTACAAAACTAACTTCTTAGCAGGGATGGTTTGATACCCTTATTGGACTGATGATTTGCATGGAGTTTTTTTATAGCTTAATTTAGCTCAGAGTTTACACTGCTTATATTGAGATTCATTTCACAGGATACCTGACTTGAGACATATCACAGGGTATCCATTGAAACCCAAATGCACCATGCTTATAAAAAGGCTATCACTCTTACTTTTACTTAAATATGGAATAAATGTCAATGTTTTTCTGTTTAATTTTGTTGGAGCTTGAAGTCGCTAACTTGTCTTCTAACTGTTGCAAAGTTGAAGTATGTGTATTCCACTGAGTTTATTCTGGATTTTATTATCAATATGTCATTGTTTTAAAAGGTTTGTAGGAATTTATTTAACCCCTTTAAAATACTTAAAAAAATATATTTTTTAAAATGCTAAAGCATACAGTCTTAACAGAAACACATATACAGAAAATGAGGTATAAATATTATACCGAACAAGTGGAGCGCTATAAGCAGTGGAGGGATTCACTCACCCTTTTAGTACAATGACAATCTTGAAATATTAAATCTTGGATGTATATATAAAAGAAAAGAGGAAAAAACAAGAAATGTAGTGCAGACGGTTCCCAAAAATAGACAATTGATGGTAATAAATGACTGAAACCACTCACATGGACAGGAGCCTATGCGGTAATGGCTCCGTAAATAGATCCTTTATGCTCTTTGGGCAGCAAACACACCCCTTTATACCAGGCAGTATCACTGCAGGAATATACAATGAGAAAGAGAACAAAAAACCGGCTGTGTAGAATAGCACATACTATATTAATATAAAAGGTGGAAATAGTTGCACTCATCTTCACCAGAGCCCTGAAATCCCTGCTCTGAGGGTGATGGACAGTGTGCTTTTTTTAGGGGGATATTTCAAGATTGTCATTGTACTAAAAGGTTGAGTGAATCCCTCCACTGCTTATAGCGCTCCACTTGTTTGGTATAATATTTATACCTAATTTTCTGTATATTTGTTTTTTATTGTGGGTAAGGGGTATTCCACTTTTAGTGTTGAGCAGCTTCTACTCTTCAGGCACTGTGAAGTAACACTCTCTATCTCCTTGTAGAGATAGTTATTATATTGATTAACAGAAACACAACTTAACGATTAAAGATTTATAATATGGCGAAGTGGGTTCACTGACTAATTATATGTATGTGTGTTTTGGGGAACTGAAAAAGTTAATTTCACTTCATTAATATGTAGTATGAAAAGTAAATCCATGCAAAATTTGCCAGAGATGACCTACTGCTATTGCATAGGTAATGCGATAAGATACAGTGGTACCTAGGTCAATGGGCGCCTCGGTAAACAAAAAATTTGGTTTATGAATGGAAATCCATTGAAAAAAATGTCTCAGTTTACATTTTTTTTTGCAATACGAAGTAAGTATCACGGTTTAAAGCGCCGCCCTCCTGCATACTGGAGTCTGGGTAGCAAGTGAGCGTGGAGTATGGAGGTGTTGGAGGTGTTGTTTTTGCAGCTAGGTTTGGAGACTTTTGAAGCCATTTGCAGCGACTTTGGGACTTTTTGATGCAGTTCTCAAGCGGTGGCAAGGTAGGGAGCTGAGCTTAGTTGTTTGCATGCCTGTTACTGTGTGCTTTGCATTGTGGGGTGGTTTCCATGCCAGCTCATGTGGGTGTAAAGCATTTTTTTTTTAGTTTCTGCTCACTTAGTGACTGTGGTGTCGTGGCACCAAAGAAAGCAGCGGAAGCTGGGAAGAGGAAGAAGGAGATGATTCTGCTCGAGGTCAAGAAAGAAATCATAAATGCACAAAAAGAAAAAAAGCTGTGTAAACCAAATTCCCAAAAATTGAATAGGGACACAGAGGTCAATATGGTGGTACCAGATCCACCAAATGGGCTTGGACCTAATGCAATAAATTTAAAAAAATAAATTGGATCCCTATAGACAGAGGGATTCAATGCTGGTTTTTAATTAAAAGAAGGGGAGAGTGAAAAAGGAAAATGCAACAAGTAACAGATATCTTAGAGTTAAAGGACCACTATAGTGCCAGGAAAACATACTCGTTTTCCTGGCACTATAGTGCCCTGAGGGTGCCCCCACCCTCAGGGACCCCCTCCCGCCCGGCTCTGGAAGGGGGAAAGGGGTAATAACTTACCTTTTTCCAGCGCTGGGCTGAGCTCTCCTCCTCCCCTCTCCGCCTCCGATCCGCCCCGCCCCTGAATGCGCTACGGCAAAGAACTGCAGCGCATTCAGCCGGCACCAGGAAGCATTTGGACGCAAGCTCAGCCGCTTTCTCTCTCGCTTGAAAAGCATGCTCTGGCTGTCAATGAGACAGCCACTAGAGGATAAGGGGAAGGCTTAACCCATTCATAATTATAGCAGTTTCTCTGAAACTGCTATAATTATGAAAAAATGGGTTAAGCCTAGAAGGACCTGGCACCCAGACCACTTCATTAAGCTGAAGTGGTCTGGGTGCCTAGAGTGGTCCTTTAAGGTAAGTGGGGATGAGATTACAGAATCATCAGCAGTATATTATATTCAAGGTATCTAAAAAATCTATACTTTATTCAAATAAGCAATACACAAAAGAAGAGAAAGAAAGAAATCATCAGGAAGCATGAAGGAGGAATGCGATTGACTGACCCCACCAAAGAGTATGGAAGGAATGCATCCACAATCGCTACCATCCTAAAGGTGAAAGAGAAAATAACTGGGATGGATGCAGCCAAGGGAATCGCCAGGGTCTCCAAGCAACAGCCACCTGTTGTGGAGGAGGTTGAAAAGTTGCTCCTGCTCTGGATTGAACAGAAGCAGTGTGCAGTAGACACAGTGACCGAGGTGATCATCTGCGAAAAAGCCAAGGCCTTGCATGCTGACCTCCTCAACCAACAGCCAGGAACATCAGCCGATGCAGAAGGCTTCAAGGCCAGCAGGGGGTAGTTCGAAAGGTTCAAGACCAGATCTGGCATCCACAGCGTGCTCGGGCATGGAGAGGCCGCAAGTTCCGATGTTGCTGCAGCTGAGGAATTTGCTACTGAGTTCCTGGAGGTCATGGTTTCAGAGGGCTACCTTCCTCAGCAGGTCTCCAACTGCAACGAGACTGGGTTCCTCTGGAAGAGGATGCCAAAGAGTACCTTCATCGTGGAAGAGGAGACCTCATTGCCTGGCCACAAGCCGATGAAAGACCATGTCATCCTCCTGTTCTGCGCCAACACCAGTGGGGACCCTAAGATCAAACCCCTGCTTGTCTACCATTCAGAGAACCCACAGGCCTTCAAGAAACACAAGGTGAACAAGGAGCAGTTGAGTGTTTTATGGTGGTCCAACCCAAAGCTTGGGTCACATGCCTCTTGTTTGTGCAGTGAGTGAATGTGGTTTTTGGTCCTGCTGTCAAGCAGTACCTTGTGGACAATAACCTGCCACTCAAGGCCATGCTGCTCATGGACAATGCTCCTGCTCATCCTCCAGGCCATGAGGAAGAATTGCTGGAGGACTTTAACTTCATCAAGGTCATGTTCCTTCTGCCTAACACCACCCCACTACTCCAGCCAATGGACGAGCAGGTCATTTCCAATTTAAAAAACTCTACACAAGGGAGCTTTTCCGGTGATGCTTTGAAATTATTATTATTATTATTGCCATTTATATAGCGCCAACGGAGTCCGTAGCGCTTTACAATATTTTGAGAGGGGGGGTGTAACAATAAATAGGACAATTACAAGAAAACTTACAGGAACAATAGGTTGAAGAGGACCCTGCTCAAACGAGCTTACAGACTATTGGAGGTGGGGTGTTTGAAACATTAGGACAATAAATATCAAGTAGGAGTGAAGCAGAGCTGGAGGTGAGAGCAAAGCACTGTCCCATAGGAGAGAGCAGGAGGCAGGTATGTAAGGTAGAGATTACTCTGGGAGGCCATAAGCTTTCCTGAAGAGATGGGTTTTAAGGCTCTTCTTAAATGATTGAAGACTAGGGGAGAGTCTGATGGCAGTAGGCCAGATCGATCAAGCCTCACCCTCCATGAATTTAGGAGAGAGCATTTTGACATCATGAGCTTTCTGCAGATTATCACCTTTGCCTGGGCCGGGGTCAGCCGGACAAACCTAAATTCTGCTTGGTGCAACCTGTTGCCAGACTGTGTTGTGAAACCTGCCTCTGATGCTTAGGAACCTGCACCAGAGTCAACAGTGTTGGAGGAGGAGATTGTTTCCTTGGGGAGAACCATGGGCCTGGAGGTGAATGAGGAGGATGTCTGTGAGCTGGTGGAGGGACACGACCGTGAGCTAACCACCGAGGACCTGGTGGAATTGCAGAAGCAGGCGATGGAGGAGCAGATCTCATTTGAGGAGGAGGAAACGAGTAAGGAACAGATCTCTTCTAGGGAACTCAAGGAGACATGCCAAATGTGGGTAAACCTACAAACTTTTGTACAGCAGCACCACCCAAATAAGGCTCTAGCCCGGAGACTTGTAAACAGTTTTGGCACTGACATCATATCCCCTTTCCAAGGAATGCTTAAAAGGCACCAGAGGCAACAGACAATTGAAAGGTTCCTACAAAAACAGCCTAGACATGAAGAAGTACCTTGTGTTAGTGCTGCCCAGTTGCCCTCCTCCTCCTCTTCCAAAAAGTGTTGAAATTGTTTTGAGGCTTTCCATGTTTTCCCTGTTTGCGTGTAATTTATTTACAGTTGAAGTGTACTTTACCATGTTTGAAAAGTCTGCCATGTTTTAAAAGTTGATGAGTGATGTTTTAAAAGTTGAAGTTGGATGTTTGAAGTGATATTGCTTGATTAACCATAACCCTGTACTGTATTTATGCCTTTAAAGTGCACTTTAAAAAGCATTTTGAACAGATAAAATACCTTTTTTTTTTACCTCCGAAACACATTAATTGGCTTTTAATGCATTCCTATGGGAAACCACGTTTCCGTCCTGGAGAACGCATTAAATTCGGAAACTGAGGTACCACTGTTTATCAATTCATCATAACTTCCATGGAACATGATTTAACAAATTAATCCCATGGTGATCCATTAAAGACATACAGAGCCCCAACTGACAGTATGAATGGGAATGACAACAAGGAAATGTGTAATCTCTGCCTTAACCACACCTCCAGAAGGGGGGGGACTGTGGGTGACCAGGGACACTTATTTAGTGTTAAACTGCTTGAACATTATTTAACACTGAATAGAGCAGCAATGCCAGGGGACCTCAGGCACTATAACCAATTCAGAGAGATGAAATGGCTATAGTGACTATAGTGTCCCTTTAACTATCTAAAGCATTAATACTTGCACCTGACTACTCACTTTGTTACTGACCGGGCTCTTACACAGAAACAAAATTATGATAAACATTTGATATTACAGTGAAAAATGTTAAAGTGGCTCTGTCACCTCACACTTATCTTTTTCCTATTGTTTTCTCTTCTCTTCCTCTTTCAGATTCTGTACTTCTTTTCCTCATTTCTGATCTAGTTATCTTTAAAACATAAGACAAAGTAGAAATTGCTTTGTCTTATATATTTCCTACACTTGACAATCTTGATAAAGGGTGGAGTTTAAAGCTTTGTTAGCTTAAAGAGACACTATAGTCACCAGAACAACTACAGCTTATTGTATTTGTTCTGGTGAGTAGAATCATTCCCTTCATACTTTTTACAGTAAACATTGTCTTTTCAGAGAAATTGCAGTTTTTACATTACAGCCTAGTGGTAATCTCTCTGGCCACTCCTCAGATGGCTTCTAGATAAGTTCTTCCTTGGGCAGTGCTCCACAGTGAGCAGTACTGCCATTCAGTGTCTCCACCCTCTGCATGCAGACACTGAACTTTCCTCATAGAGATGCATTGATTCAATGTATCTCTATGAGGAGACACTGATTGGTCAGGGCGGTGTTTGACTTGTGCTGGCTCTGCCCCTGATCTGCCTCCTTGACAGTCTCAGCCAATACTAAGGGAAAGCACTGTGATTGGCTTTTGTTCCACCCTTTGATGATGTCAGCAAGCAGGCAGATCAGATGCAGAGTCAGCAGCTGCAGATTTGAACAAAAGTAAGATTTTACTATATTTAGAGGGTCAAGAGGGGAACCAGGGGGGGCTAGAAGGTGCGTTTAATACTATAGGGTCAGGAATACATGTTTGTGTTCCTGACCCTATAGTGTTCCTTTAAGAAATGAAGTGGAGCTTGTCACAATTTTCAAATGTAGTAAAAATACATAAGACAAAGTAGTCCCTAATTTGTCTTGTGTATTAAAGAGAAATATATCAGATATGAAGAATAGAATAGAATAGAATAGAATAGTAAGTTTGAGGTGACAGAGGCACTTTAAATTAAAACATTATTCAAAATGTATGTAGCGTAACCTCTTATTCAGGAGATGCTTCATTTCCTTTCACATTTAGATGAAATACTTCCCAAATGACATCATGAACCAGATCAGAGCAGGCAAAGCCAGAGCACACATTGCAGATGAGGAGGAGAAATTGAAATATATTTTTATTTCTAATAAACTATAAATATACACTAATGGTGAATATAGAGTGTGCTCTGGTGATAATAGGGGATTTGTGCATCTAAACCCAGTGCCTTTAATCACTCAAAAAAGACACATGAAGTAAAACAGTATAAAAGTGCAAGAAGAAAAATGGCAAGTGCATTCAATACCACCCAAAACACACTATGGGATACCTATTTATATGCTTTCCTGCAGTTAGGAATAACAAGCATCAAGAGTTTGTATTATATATTTTAAATTGTTGCATTTGCTGCACATTCCCAGGATTTGGGGTTGCAGCAGAGAGCACTTGAAGTGGCTGTGGTTCAGGCTTGAGATACTTGTGTGTTAGGGAGAACAGCATTATTTAGAGATTTGCAAGCAAGTACAACATTTTCAATTGAGCCCTTTATCTCATGGGAAGCAAATGTAGGGGCTAACTGAGGGGGAGGAGTGGAAGGTGCGGGCAGACAGGAAGATGAGCCTCACCGCTGTATTTATTATAGACTGTAATGGGACAAGTTGGGAACATGTAAGACCATTGAGAAGCGGATTGCAGAAGTGAAGGAGAGAGAGGATAGCGGCATAGACATAACCTAGCCGCATCCGGCATTAGAAAGGGAAGGATGCATGCAATGTTTTTGAGATAAAAAGCAGCAGGATTTGGCGATGGACCAGATGTGAGGTGTGAAGTAGAAGTAGAGGTTGCAGTCAAAGAGAACACCTAGGCAGCGAGCCTGTGAGGTAGAGCTGAAGGTAGCACCACTGACTTGGAGGGAGACAGACACGGGAGTAGCAGCACTAGAGGGAGGAAAGAAAAAAAAGTTCTGTCTTGGACAGGTTAAGCAGGTTAAGTTTATGGAAGTGAGTGCCATCCAATTATAAATATTAGAGAGACAGTCAGAGGCATGAGTCAAGAGGGACAGAGAGAGATCAGGAGAGGGCAGATAGATTGGCATGTCATCCACATAGAAATTATATTAGAAGCCAAAGGAACTCATGAGTTTACAAAGGGAGGCAGTATAGATAGAGAACAGCAGGGGACCAAGGACAGGACCTTGGGGACCACCAGCAGAGGTGTTGAGGAGAAGAGGTAGAGCTAGAGAAAGAAACACAGAAAGAGTGCTGGGAGAGGTAGGAGGAGCACCAGTAGAGAGCAGTATCTCACAGACCAAGATTACGGAGGATGTGAAGTTGCTGATGATCAACTGTGTCAGAAGCAGCAGAAAGGTCAAGAAGAGTTGGGATAGAATAGAGACCACTAGATTTTGCAGCGGTTAAATAATTGGATACTTTGGTCAGAGACATTTCAACAGAGTGACAAGTGAGGAATCTAGACGGAAGTGGGTCAAGCAAAGAGTTGGATCCAAGGAAGTCGATCAATCTCGCATACTCAACTCTCTCAAAGATCTTATTGGCAAATGGTAGTAACTAGACAGGGCTCTAGTTGCAAGGCGGGATTTGAGTCAAGGTTGGCCATTTTTAGAATTGGGTCAAGGTTTGGTATTTTTAGAATCAGGGTTATAGTTGCAATGCTTGAAGGGTGAAGGAAACAAGCCAGAGGAGAGGTAGAGATTGAATATTTTAGTAAGAGGCAGAGCAAGATAAGGAGACAGATTGTGAATGAGATACTAGGGAATAGAATCGAGGGAACAAGTGGTGGGGCGGGAGGACCGGAGCAGAGCAGAACTCTCTTCTGCTATTGAGGGTGCAAATCAGCATAGAACAGCAGAGGGAGTGAGGTTGGGGGAAGTATTGTATGGAAAGGAAAGAGATGAGAGATCTCTTTCCTGATTGTAAAAATAACCTCAATGAATTGAGTTGTGAAGTTTGTAGTGGTTAGGTTAGAAGGAGGAGGAGCAGCATCATGTTGAAGAAAATAGTTAAAAGTGCAAAAGAGACATTTGGGTTCGAGTGAGAGAGTGGTTAGGAGTGTATTGAAGTAGTTTTCTTTTGCCGAAGAAAGAGCCAGGCTATATGATCAGAGCATACGTTAACAGTGGAGGACATCAGACACAGAATGAGATTTTCTCCAGCAGCATTCTTTTCAGTGTAGGAGGTGCCATGATGTCTAGTTGAGAGTAGAGGGTGGAGCTGAAGAGGGACGTTGCAGAGCTAGGGCAGTGAGCTTTGAGATAGGTAAAAGGAGAGTTTGGAGGTTGGTGGAGAATCGTTGTAGGTCAAGATAGTGGATATGTCTACGAGACTGCTATACCGAGGGTGGTATAATGTTTGCACAATAAATGACAGAAAGCTAAGATGAAGGCACCCATAAGCATAATAAAGAGGTGTCGATTTGCACATTTCATTTTATATTTCATACTTGACAAATATATATTTATTAAATATGAATATAAGTAAACATTAAAACATCTGACAGTTCCTTTTTAAATCATAAAGCAATAAATATACCAACAATGTAGACAACTATTTTAAAAATTACAACATAAAAAAACTTGATCAAATAAATAAGGTGCCTCGTGTGTCTTCAGTAAATCTATTTCTTCCTAAATATAAAAATAAACTGAAATTCAAAAATAAAACGTACACAGCAGCATTGTAATAGTGATTGTTTTTCAAGACATAAAATGTTATATTTCTGTCATTTTTTAGTGCATACAATATTATTGCACCATCGCCTCAGGTACTTTCCCCAGCATTTACAGAGATCTTATTATCTGCTGACTTATTTTAAGCAGTAGTGTAGAAAATAAATTTAACATATTTTAGACAGTAATTTTAAAGGTCTATATGTTTTTATGTATCTTGTGTCTCAGGAATGTAGAAACGATAAATGGTATTTTGAAACGTGTTCACGGTATGTGTTGCAAACTCAAGTTCTTTTTCATTTAGCTCCCATGAAGTGATGCAAGATGTATTCTGATTAGTGTATACTTTAATGGATCATGTACCAAGAGTCCACCTTTCACATCAAGGCCATTAATTTCTTTACAGTATTATGGAAAACGCAGGTACGGTCTCTCTGTGCTGATTGAAAAGTGATGGATTGTGTTCATGTGAAAAAAAACACATTGTTTTCTTTAGCACAGCAGGATATTATGTTTGCAAGATTCAACAGTGAAATATTATGCATATCTACAACTGGCTTCTCGCCAGAGTCTCACAAAGTCTAAAACA